ATTCCACCCAACCAAACTGTTAGAATTGGAATAGCCCATTCTGATTCCGATTCAAGACCCCTATTCCCAGGAACCAACAAGGCTTGATTAAATTTGAGTTGCAATTACATATAATATGCTTATTCTTAACATAATACACTCATGTTATGGTCAAGTCTGGCTTTGAAGATTTTCTTTACAATAGAAATCATGTATGATAAGAGTTTGGATTCTCAAGGACCATTTGTTAATGACTGAAGTGGCTGAACTGAAATACTTATTGCTTTGCCTTTTAGTGAAAAATATAATTAAACATTCAAAGTTATAATATTCAATCTAGCTTGAGCTTCAACCATCAATAAGCTCACAAGCTCTATGATCTCTTTAATAACTTATTCACTAAAAACCAAACAATAAATCATTCCGTTCAACCATTTAAGCTGTTACCAAATGACCCTCACTCTCCTTAAAATTAAGAGAAAATTTCACTTTAGTACCCTAAACTTTGGAATAGTATCAAGTTAGTATCTGAACTTTCAAACGTGCCACTACAATATCCACACTTTCAAAAAGTGTCAAGTTGGTCCTTATCGTTAACCAACCATCAGTTATTTGATTATATGATAATATATATATATATATAATTTAAAATTTTTAAAATATCAAAACTACCAAAAAAAAGGCACTATTCATTGTATTCTACCTTGACGCTGAAGATGTTAAGGTGTTTGAAATTCTTAGCTAACGGGTTCGTTGTCTTCTACCTTCAAAATGTAGTCCCACCCATCATCAAATACTTCGATATGCCCTACCTATCTGCACCAAAAAATTGGTTTAGAAGAATTACAGTTTATGCGTGTTGGATTTTAATCTCATAAGAGATTAAATCCAATGTGTTTGATTGGTCAATTACATGAGAAATTGCACTTGCACACTTGATTGAAAAATGGGTTTTTCTCTTACAAAACTCAGTTTTGAATTTGTCCCACATTGGAAAATTATAAATTTTGTTTTCAGTATTTCAATAGGAGCTGATTTACACTCCTTAGAATTAGTAGAGGAGAGTATGGGGATTCAATACCGCGCAACGCGTGCGCACGCGTGTGTGCGGCGCAATGAGGCGCTTTAGAGGCGCACTTTGCTCGCACCCGCGTGGCTCGCAATGGGCAACTTTGGTTTTGGTGCGTTGCTGACCGTTGATCACCGTTGATGAGATCAACGATCACGATTCGATCGGGTGTGATGAAGAGGCACAATTCAAAGTTAACAGTCACCAACTGTTAACTACTTTTTAAACAGTCACAATGTTTGAAATTGTGACTGTTCAAGGTGCATTCTCTAAACCAGCACTTATCTTTTCCTCATACCTCTTCACAAATTATTTAAGGAGCATGAATCAGACTCTAAAACACACAATTTCGAAATTCACTCACTCTCTCTCTCTCTCAGTCCAGTCTGCTATAGTCTCATAGAATATTTCTTTGGAGACTCTTCAACTTTGCTGGTTGCAGATTCTCGCCCAAGGCTCTGTTGTATCATAGGAACGAATTTGCCTGTAACCCAACGGCAAGCTCAGTAAAACTGAGTGGGGGCAAATAACGTTCTAAAGACAGTGTGTTCAGACGCGCCTCAAAGCTTCTCCTCCAAAGTTACAGTGACCCCATCTTCCCCAACAATGCGTGCTCTATATGATGGGCTGCATGGGTTCTAAAAAAAACTCTTGAAAAACTACAAAGCATGTGTTATGAACACACCGTTTGATAGCACATTGCGGCGCAGTCACAAGTAGCGGCACGCATAACAGGCCGCGTAGCAGCACGCACCGCCCGGCAGCGTGCAGCATGCACCGCCCGATAGCGCATAGCACGCACCGCACGACAGCAGCACTGTGAGACGCGCACGCCGCCCGGCAACAGCGGTAGAGCGGGACCCACATGACAGCTCATCAGGGTGGGTCCACACTTATCTCTTCTCGCCAACTCGCCGCCAGCTACTCTATCTTATCTTATCTTATCTTATCTTAAATAGGAGTTGTGTTACTATTAGGAGTAGGTAATTAGGAGTTTGATTTCAAGTTGGAGTTTGAGTTTAATTAGGAATTTCCTTTTGTAATCTCTTATTTAAGGAGCCACGTATTAATGAAAAGGCATTGAATTTTCGATCAAGAGAAGAGCTTAGGAGAGTTAGGGTGATCTCTTGGACAAATCACCCCCTAATTCGCCACAATAGGCACAGCACGCAAAGGGAAAGGCAAGGGAAGGCTAGGAGTTTTCCCCGTGGATTGCCCCATGACGAGATCCTACGTGCGGGCCCATAATAGCATCAGATGCAATTGTAAGCTCATTCCTCGAGGTCATGAGTCGAGCCAACACGTTGAATTAGACATGACACATCATACATCCGCCTTAGAGGAAGTGCAAATATCAGAAGCAAAGACGGAGAAACAAACGATGGCGGGCGTTGCAAAGAGGATGAGATCCAGTGGCACCATCCACAGTCGAGTTTTGGATTCATGGTACTCAACCTAACAATGTATCTGCTCTGAATTTCTCTCTCCATTTCCTGATCCGTCTTCTTCCAAGAATGGACAGAACCCACCAAACTCTAACATCTGGTTGCCTTAACATTTCCTGGTCGTGTCACTAGCAACGACTGTAACACTACCCATCTATTTCTTTGGGTGCATTCGTCGGCTGGACAGTGCCGTCGTCCAAGCATTTTGCATTTTTAACTGCAGACCAGCAGCATTCACTAGCCATTACAATGGCCGGAGAGCCGTCGGAAAACAAATTTGCCTCTGCTATCATGCCTTTGGCTAGGGTTTCATCACGTTCTCTGATTTTAGAGCTTTTGGAACCTCGCTTTACCGGTGATCTGAGAGCGAGTATTGTTTGGTTGACTAGAGGAACAGATACTGGGAAAAACTTTTGATTTGTTTTCCGGCAGTGTTGGACAGTGATTCTGAGCATAGCTGCAGGAGAAGGGAATATGGAGAGAATTCGGAGAGGCATTTGGATACCAATCATAAGGAAATGTTTGTCCTTTTATATGGGTACTGCAGTGACATGTTAAAAAGTTTGGATCCTAACTTTGACACCACCCAAAGTTCAGGTAGTAAGAACAACCACTGTAACTAATTCTTACATATGTCATTCTCATTTACTATCTCCATTGCCTTCTCCTGAGTCTTCACTGTTCAGCACCTTCATTCCTCTGAAAATTACTCACCCCTGAACTCTGGTTCTCAGAAACCTAGTGGTTGGGTCCAGGCCGTGCTATGACAGGGTAAAGCTGATCTATATTTAGCCAGGTCTGGCTGGCTGTCAAGACCATTGCCATAAATATAATGCTATTGTTTTCATTAAACTAAAAAAAAAAGTTGCCTTAAAAACCTAGATTACGGACATACAATGGGCCGTGTAGTTTAGTGGGTAGAAGTCTAGATGGACCCATGAACCTTCCACAAAGGAATATCGTTGAAGGCCCAAAAGGGGCCCACATGTTCTTCTGAGCAGTCATAGTCATTGATTGCCTTCCAGGACAAATCTTGGTCCAAAATTCATCAGTCGTCACCAAGTGCCCTGCAGGTAGAGTTGGGTCATAGGTCAATCCGCTGACCCGGTTGTCAAGTCTAATTGGGATTATTTATGCATTATTAGAAGTTTTCATTCTTTAAATTTTTTCTATTTAGTCTTTACTTTTTATTGTTTACTCTTTAAATTGTTAAATGTTCAAGTTTTTATTTTATATTTGGAATTTTAAGATTAATTCTTTTAATTTTGACATTTTTATGTAATTTTCTTTATTTTTTTAAAATTTAATTATTTTTTGGGATGACCCAAGTTGACCCATAGGCCATGGGTCAACCCTAACCCAAACATAAGGTCTAGCATTTGACAATCCAACCCGAAATTCAACCCGACCTGAAATCAACCTGAACCCGACCCACCCAACCCAATTGCCAGGTCTACCTACAGGATAAGCCTCTCGTTTGTGGGCAATAAAAGGTGGTGTATAGGGTTGTGAGAAGGACTATTGACTGGGGAATTTTGGACGGATAGGCTTTGAAAGACGATTAGCATATTATCTTAGAAAGAGGGTAAGATTGTGAACGGAAGAAGGCTATGTTTGATTTGAGTTTGACAAAAAAGTATGAGAGAAACAGAAGGTGGATAACAAACTTTGTTGCTTCTCTCTTATTTTCTGTCAAACCAAACACAGACGAAACGAATGATCGCAAATCGGAATTATGAGCACGGTCATGAGTCAATCCCCTTTGGCCTTTCTTCACTGGTCGAGGGCTCCAGAGTCCAGACATTCCACCAAACAATACCTTTACATTATTGTGAAAAGCCTAGCTTGGAAATCAGGCGGCAGATCCTGGACCAATATTTCTTTTGTACAGGGCCCGGTAAAATCTGAACCATATCCTATATGTGGGCTGGTTAGGAACCTAATCTCGGGCATTCCTTCCAAATCAAAGTCACTACTTTTGACGGATTGGACAGACTAACAAGACATTCGATTGGATCAATCCAGTTCAAAGTATTTATTGGATTGGACTGGACCTGGTTCATCATCTCTAATAGATTTATATTAAATTGGTCAAATTGAATCCGGTCCATTGATAGAAGAGAAGAATACAGATGTCAATGGACTAAGCTTGGGTTGGAGCTAATCTAAATGAAAACCAAAGTATTGAACAGATTGAATGGTTCAGATATTGAATTGGATTGGTCCAAAGTATTCATTAGATTGGATTGAATCTGATCCATCTGTAATGAATTCATATTGAACTGAATTGGATTGGACCAAATCCGGTCTAATTGACACCCCTACCTCTGACTCAAACATCCGTGTTCTCAGGTTTGTCGGCCAGCCCGAAGCACGAGATTTTATCATTAGTTTAGTACATAACTAACTGATCAAGGCTGCTCAAGTCATGATGAGAATATGAAACAGAAGAAAATTAGAACATGTATAATATAGTAATTATAAATAAAGAGATAAGTTGACTGCACTCCACCTAAGAATTCAACTGCAGACCTACAACAATTCAAAATTATAAATACCCTCTACCTATAACACTTATACCCGCCTATGAATTGACATCAATTCCGAGCTGACACCTACCCCAATTGTACGATCAAGCTAAAATTTCTGGAGTGGATTGAACAGTAAAAACCCCTAAAAAAGAAGTAAGAGAAATCTATAACTATCCACAGTTTCTGAACAGTAGTTGAGAAAGAACAAAAACCAACATACTAGGTTGAGAAATGAGGTAAGGGAAGGGCACAATCAACTAGAACTGCGTAAAAAGGTTTATTTTCTTGACGTGCTATTGAAGAATGATCTAGTCTTTGTTGGCTGAGGAAGGGGCTTGTCTGTGAACCTTAATAGGTTATAGGCAAAAGCTCCTGCAATGGCGCCAACTATTGGGCCTAGAATATAAACCCAGAGTCCTCCGTATATGTTCATAACAAGAGCTGGTCCGATACTCCTAGCAGGGTTCATTGATGCTCCAGAGACCGGCCTACAGATGGATAGTTTGATTTGCAAATTAGAAGACATTAATGCACAACTTTCAGATAACGATTCGATATGAATTTTTGGTTACTGAGGAGATTACCCAGCAACGAGGACATTTAATAGTATTGTCATTCCGACTGCAACCCCTCCTAATTCTCCAATCTGCAAATGGAAAATATCAGTAAAGAACTTTACATGGATAAATGGTAATTCATTTTCAGATTTCATGGAAGAATTTCAGAAAATGCTGTATGGAAAAGTGAACCATAGATCTACTAACCGCTCTGTCATCAGTGGAAACACCTGATATGACAAACATCAAGAGGAAGGTGATGATGATCTCAACGACCAGAGATTGAAAATTAGATCCTACAGGAACAGTACCAAAGTAATCCACGGCTTTTACAGTAAACAGTAGACGAAGTGTTCCACTTGCAAGCGTTGATCCAAACACCTGAGCCACTATATAAAGGGGTACCTGCATGCATGCATTATTAGATTGATTATTAATATTAATATCTAATAATCTTGGTTTCTTACCAATTCTAGAGGATATGATGGATAAGCCGGTATATCATAGCCAACTGAGCTTTCAAATTAGGGGTGCAATGGAATCGAGCTCTAATCGAATAATTTGGACTCAAGTTTGATTCTAATCTAATTTAAATTGAGTTTCATCAATAAAAAGTTCAGCTCAAAAGCTCGTGAGTTTTGCTTGAATATATATATATATTATAAAAAAATATTTTATTTATATATATATTTATAAAATATAGAAGTATATTCATTTTTTAGCTTTTGAACTGAACTCGAACTCACTGAATATTTAATTGAATCAGGCTCAAACCGAAAAATAAAGTTCAATTCAAACTCAAAACTCAAACCGGATCCTAATAGTATTTTAATCAAACTGACCTAAGACGTGCCAGAGTTCAGCTTGATTCGGCTGGATTGCACCCCTGATTCAAGTCAATGTTTTAAGACTCAGCCTGGACTGGACGACTGGACCATGAAAATCAAGAACCGGTGGCCTTTCTGGGTCTCAGTTAAATGATGGTTTTGGTGGATTGGACCGGTAAGCTGCCCGGTAAATCAGTAAAACAGGAACCCATAGAACATTCCAAATTTTAATCCGGTCCAAGTCTTACAACAATGATTCAAATTAATACCTTTTATCCAAGGTTTTTTTCTGTAACTATGGCTGTATTTGGTTTGATAGAAAAATGGTTTAACTTGATTCACCCACCAATACAACTAGCCGTCATAAAAAAGAGCTTTAATGGCAGGGTAAATTGTTTGTCCTAGTAAAAGAAGTATACCGTATAGTCAGAGGGAAGGTAATAAATTTCTTATAAACCTCTTAAATGGTTCCCAATGAAATCTGTTTATACAAATTATATATAGAACCAACCTGGAAACTAAAGGAAGAAAAACTACCACCTGTTTCCAAGGGAAGCGTCGGAAGATGGCAAAGGTGATCGTGACTGCGGGATTGAAATGGGCGCCGGAGATATGGCCGACGGAGTAAACCATAACCATGACTACCAAACCCCAGGTTATACAAATCCCTGGAAATGAAACCGACCCATATATCTTGTTAACAGCCACAGCCCCGCAGCCGGAGAAAATTACAAAATAAGTTCCAATAACTTCTGCTATCAGCTAAAGATCAGACACAGATGAGAACCAATTAGTCTAAGCCTTCGTTCATAAAATAAAATGTTTTACAGGCTGCGATCGTTTACCTTCTGTACAAAGCTAACGACAGCCACTGAGCAACAGTCAGGGATGTTACTGTTATCGGCGGTGGCTTTGGTCCTGGATGAGCCTTCTTCCATCCTTGAGATGTCTGTTTCAATCCCATCTACTGCGACCGGCATTATTTCAGCTGTGAAACCAAATAATCAGCACAAATTAGAGTACCAGTACCCAAAATCCTGTTACCCCCCCCCCTCTCTCTCTCTCTCATTAAACAGAAGAGGTCAAGAGGATCGAGATTGCTTTATCCGCTCGTGGATGAAGATTAGACGATAATGGGTTTATCTGTTATCAAAATCCGTTCGATTTTCATGAGCTGGAGTTGTCCGTTTTGATTAAAAGTTTGAAACACAATCTGCTTACAAACAGAACGCATTTTTTTCCGGAGGTGATCAAGGGTCGCGCTGGTGGCAGGCTTAGGGCTATAGCCCAGGCCCGGACCCCAAGATCTGGCTTGGAAATTGGGAATATAGGGCCAAGACCTGACTGTTCAGGCCGGGATTTGTAAATGGTCTGCAGGCCTAGTTGGGCTTAGAAGTTAGATCTAGAGGTGTAAATGGTCTCTGACTTGTCTGACCCACCAAAAGTAGGCCATAACATGCCAAGCCAGCCCTACAAAGCCCTCGTTAACAAATTTTCTTCACTATTATTAGAATTAGAACCATACCAAACATAAAGCCAGGAAATTAACTCACAGATCAAGGTTTTACCGGTTTACTAGAAAGCTCATTGATCACTGGCTTATTGGTTATATAGACCATCTAGTTCGATTCGGGTCTGGCAACATTGCTTTTTTTTTTTGTTTTTTTCTTTGAAACGTTAGTTTTAGTTTTAAGTCATGATACCGAAAGGGTTTTGACCAATCAAACCCCCCATGAATTTTGATAAATACTATCCGATTGGTTATCACTTTTATGATACCGGTTTATTGATTACAAGTTATTTCGGTATTATAATTGAACCCTTTTTTTAGAATGCCCAATTTCTTTACCCCCATAGGCAATATGATTTTTTGACCGAGGGTATGAGATACTTCACAAGGTCAGAACTGCTGGAGGAGGAATCTAGAATAGGCGCTCTATGTGCCAAGGAGCTAGGTTTAGTTGAGCCAAGAGAAGATGGGCGATTTCCAAAGCATCTCCTTCAATGATAACATGAGGAAATTGCAATTTGAGACCTAACAAGTAACTATAACCCTTAAGGGGTTGTTACACTGTCAGCAATTGCAAACGAGACAAAAATACAAATTTTGTATCAGATAAGAGTGCAACCGCAATTTCAAGCAAACAGATACAAAATTCTTATCTAGTTCAGATTTGCACTACAAACAAAGAGAGCCTAAAACTGTGTTTGGTTGCAGTTCAAATCTTGACTGGGTGCAAAATTTGTACTCAGTTCAGTTTTGCTTTCATTTGTTTGCAATTATGATTTGCATTCCAACCTAATACAAAGTCTGTACCAATACAAGAGGTTTCCTTTCCTTTTCCCTACCTTTTCCTTCAAACCAATACAACAAGGTTTATAGTTTATACAGGTCACTTGGAGAATTTAACAGTACTCAGCCCTCTTGCACGCCCATGCATCACCAGAATTGGACCTATCACCAGCCCCCATAGTTGGTGGACACAGACTACTTAGCTCAGATGTGGTTCCAAAAGGGTCCCCCATGTGCCAATGCTGTGTATCAGATATTTCTTTCGTTTCCTTTTCCTTTGTTGGAACTTGGAATTGGTTCTGCTGTCAGCTTATCAGGTGAGTGGCTTTTGTATTTTGTTCTGGTTTCCTCTTTTAGAAGGGTGAGGTGACTTATGGTGATACACGCAGATGTCAACCTCTTCATGAATAAGATCATCTTCCTTCTACTGTGAGGTTCTGCTAATGTGACATTTGAGGCCTATATATATTGCAGTTTGTATCCGCCTCACTGAGAGTGATTGATAGATCAACTTCTTCCGTTTAATGAAGGGCCCCCTAAACTGAATTAGCCTGATATATGTAGACAATCTTGTCATATCAGACTTTATATAGTTTGTGAAACAAAGGGTTCCTGAATTTGGTTATTTAGATATTCCAGTAATCAACAAAATTATTTCTAGCCACAAAGCTGGTCCTTATGAACCAAAGGAAGGTAATTCCGGAATCAGAGAGTGATACAAGACCTTTCCTTGATTGTAAAACAGTATACAGAAAATCTATTATTTTACAAACCAAGAAACCACTCAGATAACTCTACAGTGTCTAGATATTGACTGACAATTACCAGTCACTAGATACCATCACGGCCTGGACTGGCATTCTTTGCTACCTTTGTCTTCATCATGGATGAAAGAGAAGAAAAAAAGGATCTTCCACACTCACTGAGAAAACACAGAGCCGATAACCAAAATGATTATTTTGAAGAAACTTCGGATGTACAATTAGTGAGAGGCAGATCAGAAGGGGTGCAAACCAATGCTCTCTGCTGTAAATGTCTCAAGCTCTGTTCCATGCTAACTTGTACCATTTCAGCTAACATCTTCCTTGCTTTCCCACTTTGGTCTTCACCATCAATTTGAGAGATAATCTTGCAGACAATATTCTCTATTGTATCAGGTTGAAATTCAGATCTTCGGTAAGGGGATTCCCTCAGTAACTGCAGCAGTTTATGTGCTTTTGACTGAGATTTAGGCGTCCCTTGAACTGTGAGTTCAAGAAGACCAGGGATAACACCTTCACTAAGAATTGGTTCCCTGTATCTGTGCCTGTCACTCTCACACATTGTTAAAAGAGCACCTACTGCATGTTCTCGGCTTTGGAGTGACCCATTCTCGAGGACTTCAACAACTGTGAGCACTCCACCTTCTTCAGAAGTCAATGCAGTTCTTCCCTCATCAAAACCCATCAAAGATTCTAAAAGCGCGCTGCACTTTTCCGCTGGTTTTGAAGATTTCTTGCAGCTTTTAAGCAAATTAACTAGAGGAGGGATGGCTTTTGCTGTTATAATAATGCTGAGGTTCCCTGGGTGTGTTGAGAGATTGTAAAGAGCCATCAATGCATCAACTTTGGCTTGTTGGCTCGCATCTCTAAGGATTTCGACTAGGAGAGGAATGGCACCATGTGAACTGATGATTGGCTTATTAATAGCAGAAGCCGAGAGGGTGAGCAAAGCTGCAGTGGCATATTCCCTCAAATTTGAGTTGTTCGACTTAAGGAAAAGGATAAGTGGTTCAAGGGCACCAGCATCCACAATCTTGATCTTATTCCTGTAATACAAAGAAGGAAATCATGTCGAATTGAGAGAAACATCAAGGAAGATTATACTGCAAAGGCAAAATTACTTGTAGTTTCAGCACTCAGCTTCAAACTGTGACCACCATTAAACAGGAAACGTCTCTTTGGGGTGAACTACCAAACAGCCAAGCACTCATTGACCTTCAATCAGTTGTGAAGTTATCAATGGGATCTTCACCCAAACTGAGGAGTTACAACTTTCAATATGCAAGTGAAAGGGAATTTGGGTAGGCAGGGCAAGGTGTCCAAGGGTTCACAGCAAAGCCATTCCCAGATGCTTCCTAAGTGTATGAATATTAGATTCTTTTTCATACGAATATTATGAGGATAGGTAACCCAAAGCATATTACCCTGAAGGCATGATGGGCCGATAGGGTAATCCAAATATCCAATTTTGTGTTTTATGATTTGGTTTTATCAGACAGGTTAAACATCTGGTTTACCAGAAATGAAACAGCACAAGAAGATGGAAGAGGAAAAGGATAAAGGCATATGCAAACCTAGAATAACCCGAAAATAATAGTCAAATTTGGTAAAACCGAAAGTGGTCCACTGCTCTAAACCCTTGATATTAGAACTGAAGTCTGATGAGATTGCCCAGATTCAATGTAAAGCAGATGACAATACGATGCTCAGAAGGCCATTACATTATATTCATGTAAATTATGTTAGCTTGAGCAGCACAAAAGCTAGTTTTGACTTTAGAGCAGCATTTCCTAAATGAAACTGGGCTGCAGGAATCAATTTCTTTAATGATTGTAAACTCTGAAGGCCATCCAAACACATTCTTGTACCTTCATCCTTAAGCTAGCCCCACTCCAACTGCATAAAATTAAAGGGTCAAAGCCCACTTATTCAATTTAAAAAGAGGACAAAGACGAAATCACAGTAATCTAGGTTATATGTTAATCAGAACGATTCAGAGTTGACATTAGACATGGTGCCGACTCTACTGAGGAGGTACCTACTCAACCCAGATGGTGTCAAATTGATTCGATAAACCAATTAAACCAAGAGACTCATGCGATAACTCGAAAGATCACATTGAGAAGGAGATGATTTTGCAGAGTTTTAAATCTTAAGAGAAACATTACAATAGCTTCCTTGTCTATGGGGGAGCTAACAAGAAAGGCTCGTCTAGACCATCAAGGATATGGATTAGACGGGAATAACTCAGCTTTTCCTTGCACTTGGATTCAGACATGGGCATAGTTATATCCCGTAGTTGGGGATTTTATAGACACGAGTTAAGCACCAATAGCAGAATTATCCAGACCATCAAAGATTCTAACGGAGAAATGGAAAGCTTCATGGGTTTCCTATAACTGTACACAGTACCCATGAAGCAAGTCAATCATGAATATCAAATTACGGGCGACTCTTTACCAGAACAAGAAGATATCATAGCCAAGCCAGAAATCCGAATTAGATTAGGAGATGCTTCTCTTAAAATCTAATTCAATTTGTCCGATTAATCCAATTTCGTGTAATTAGCAAAGAAGCCAGAGGTGTTGTATTAGCACCACTCGGGAAATAAATGAACTAACCGAATTCCTCTGTTTAAATACTAAAAAATAAAGCCTCAAAAATATTAAAAAAAAGGAAAAGAAAAAGAGGGGGAAAAGCATAACCAGAAAAGAAGAATTCAATTCGTGAAGATAAATTCGAGAAAAAAGAGAAAGATAAAAAGAAGAGAGGAAAGGCGAACACGAAGCGTAACACCTGAACCCAAGGACAATCGCCTTGGAGGCGAATCTCATCATTTACCCAAATAAAGCATCATTTTTTTTTCTTCTTTTTGATCAAGGAACCCCCAAACTAATAGGATTATTATAAATACACAGAATTCTAATAAGTTGCATCCATAATTCATAAATAACAAATAACAAGAACTGCAAAGAAAGAGAAACCATAAATTGAAAAGAGAAATAAACACGTACATCTCATCTTTGACGGCAAGATTGAGAAGGGCGAGAAGAGAGGCTTCGTTGCATTCAATAGACTCAGATCTCAGCATGGATACGAGTGGTTCAATTGCGCCCGAGAACTGCCGTCGGTACCTCTGAGACGTCTTGGTGAGGCGCCGGATTTCTCTAGCCGCCTGAATTCTGGAAACTGGGTCGTCGGATTGGATGAGTTCGATTGTCTGGCTGACGATGGCCGATGTTCTGGCGGTGTTTGCACCGAAGCTGTTGCTGGAATCGTCACCTGAGAACTGACTCTCCAACTCCATGGCCTATTACCAGTAAGAGAGAGAGAGAGAGAGAGAGAGAGAGATCTGAGTAGCGTTCGAAATCTTAAAATGGAATTTAACAGAGAGAGAGGGGGGGGGAGAGAGAGAGAGAGAGAGAGAGAAATGTCGTTTGGCCAGGAGGAGACGTGAGCGTAGCGTTAAGCAACAGTCACAACCGGCCTCTTCAACGGTTTCGACTAGAGAGATATAGACTGGAGACTAGAGAGAGAGAGAGAGAGAGAAAGAGAGATGGAGACTGGAGAGAGAGAGGGCTTTCCACTTTCTTACTTTTACTTTTTTAGTTCGGTAGAAGCTACAAACCCATTCTCCTTTTCTCTCGTTCTTATCCTCTTAGGCTCTTATATGTATGGGATTAGACTACCTCATTTTACATAAATGCCCTTGAGTTTCTGTAAAATGACAAACAACGGCTTGATTTCATTTTGGTTACCCACCACCCACCAGGCAAGCGGGATCCAGACGTACAACATGTTTTGTCATTCGTTTTCTACTGTCGAATAACGTGGAAGCCAAACAAACAACCACAGCTGCCACCTTGACAAGTCAACCGAACTTCCGAGGGAACTGTTTGTAGTGAAACCGTGGCAGGGGTATTTTCGGTATCTACGGTGAAGCTCTGATTACTTACTTTACTGGAGCTAAACGACCCTGGTCAGGGGTCCCACTAAAAAAGATGAGAACCGTTGCCAAAATGCAGAATTAAATGAAATGACGCAATTTACTTACAATTATCTGTCTCTCTCGCTCGGTGACAAGTTGATATTTTGGTTGTCCGTAGTAGGAGGAGCTCTGTTTTTATGTTTAAATCATTGGTTTGTCCTTCTCCTCCTACTTGAATTCCACGTTCTGTTCTAATGGCGGTAGATAGTACTCTCTATCTTAAATCTAAAAAAGTAAAAAATTGACTTGTTACAGTGGTTTCAAAGATTTTTTTTTTCATTTGTTACTTTCTTAGGTCTCAAGTGATTTTGAAAGAAAAATTTTCGTTTTTTACTTTCTTGGGTCTTAAGTGATTTTAATTCTTTTTTGTCAGCTAGGTGATTTTGATTCAAGTCTTCTCTCCCTCTTTTTCTTTCTTTTTTTGGGGGTTAAGTCGGATCTCTCCTATATGTGTTACTATGTATTTTCTTCAAGGCAAAACAAGTCTTCCCTTGCTTCAATAAAAAAAATATCTTCATTTTCTCTAGTTTTAGTGCTGCTTAGCAAATAAATTAGAATAATATATAATAAAAAATTTTCTTAATAAAGCCGTCCATTTACCAAAATAAATTCAAACTCAAATTCAAAGCGGTCCTAAAAAAAGTTCACGTAACTGTCAATGATCTTGCCTCTTATTGAGCAACAGGGGGGCCTAAAACGAAGAAGGTGAGGAATCTTCGGGGAGGAATCCGACGAGATCACTCCGAAGCTCAATTTAGTATTCTTTCAAAGGCAAGATAAAACCAGATGGGGCAAAGTTCACATACCTTCTTCGGGGGGTAGAGAGCCTTTTTATAACCACCTCGCGTACTCACTCTGAGGCCTCTGTCAGGTCGGGTATGATTACTCATGTGCTTCTGCCAGTTCGGGTGTCATCACCTCTGCTGGGACAGAACCGCCACTGCTCCTTGTCGGACCCGTTTCTGTAACTGGAGATGGCGGTGGCAGGTGGCGATGGTAGGTGGCCATTGGAATGCGACTATCAAGCGTCAGGTCCCAAGTTAGTCAGGTGCGCGTCGCCCCTGGATACGGACTCCTTCGGTGTCAGGTACGGTTTGTTCAGTTCGGTGTTCCGGGGGTGAAGTGCTGGAGTGGTGTGCGAGGTTAAGTCTTGAATTTGGATAGGAGTGTGACCCGAACTGCCGTGGGACAGGCCAGTTCGGGTTGTTGCCCTTTGTGTTTGTAAGGCTCGGGCTCCTTGCGGGGAGTTTGGACCACTGGTTCCTCCTCTTGGAGCTCGCGCCTTGGCGAGCTATTGTGCCGAACTGTTGCCACGTGTTGAGTGGTTATGAGGTCGGGCCAAATCTTCCTTCATCAATTGCCCCCCACTCCTCGTGCTAAGGGTCTTGCCCTGGCGCGGGGAGTTCGCGAGGTGGCGGGTGGATTTGTCCCGTACTTCGGTTTGACTGATAGCGCGAGGTGCGTCGTCAAGACTTTTTGGGTTTCTCGAGTGCCCAAAAGACGGGAAACGCGCCGATCTGCCTACACATGCTGACGGACGTGACAGTGCACGTCTTATTTCAAAATTCAAAAAGCGCGCCACTGGGAGACGTGACAGTGAGCGCTTTATTTCAAAATTCAAAAAAGTGCGCCGCGGGGAGATGCGACAACGGGCGTCTTTTTAAATTTGAAAACGTGCTGCTGCTGCCTTTAATGTGAGGAGACGTGCGGTCAATTTCGAGAGACGTGTGGCCAGTCACGTCTTGGTCTCAAGAGACGTGCGGTCAGCGCGACTGCGGGCCGTCGGATTGGCTTTGATCTAAGCCGTTGATTCTTGGTTACTATGGGTATAAATAGTGGGGGGACCCTAGTTTTTTGTCACTTCTGCGCTTTGCTTCTTGAGCTCGCGTCCAAGTTTCAGCTCGCGCCCAAGCCTTTAGTTCGCCTTCAAGGTCTTCTGCTCGTGTTCAAGTTCCCGTAGTCCGTTCAAGCAATTTTCCGGGTGAGTACTTTCCTGGATCCATCTTCTCTCCCCGATGTCTAGCTCGGATAGCTCAAACGGTTCTTCAAGGGGGTTCGATGCAGGTTCTACGAACCGAGTTGCATCCCCTGATGGTCCTAGCGAACCGGAGGTAGAGCTCGAGGAAGAGTTCGAACCCGTAGGCCGAGCCGCCTCGGGTAGCTTGGCGTCCAACTCTCATCGAGGTTGGACGTTAGATAAGTTCGGTCCCTCGACCATGACACCTGAGGGGCTCCAATCCCTTATTACCTATTACAACTTGCCTGGGGAGTACGCCTATTTCATACCTTCGGGTAGCTTTTCTTGGAAACACGGTCCTGAAGAGATCGTGATATTCCGGGAGTAGCTCGCTGCGGGGCTGCGACTGCCTTTCCATCCCCTCCTTGTCGAGGTCATGAACCACTTTGGCATTACTGTCGGCCAGCTTCACCCAAACTCCATTCGTAACTTGGTGGGGACAATCTCCCTATTTTGCGAATAGGGCTTCCTTTTAGACTTGGAGATCTTCTCTTCTATCTTAATGCTTAAGAAGCAAGTGGGTCCCCTTCCCGGGCGTAGGCGGGCGTATTACCTGTCTCCCTGCCCGGGTTTTAAGCTTTTACACGAACTTCCCAACAAGGTCCCGGCATGGAAGTGGGATTATTTCGGGGTGCGAAGTGTATTGGGGTGGCCGTTTCAAACCGGGTGGGGAATGGCCGCCCCGGACTCCGGTGTTACACTTGATAAAGAGACGGCGAAGGGCCTCCGGCAATGGGCACGGCTTGGGCTAAAATGCCATCTTTATCTGTCAGAGGCCAAGCTCATTGAGGCCGGTTTGAGTTCGGGTAGGTTTCTTACTCAGGTTTGTCTTTTGTTTTGCWTTGTTCTTTCGCTTTTTCCTGATGCCGAACTCATTTTGTAGGTGTGATGGACTTAGAGAGGACTCGCGGYGGGCACTTGTTTCACGGCATGAAGAGGAAGCGGGTTGCAAAACGAACTCGCGCCGAGGTGCCCACAGACGCAGAGACCGAAGTACCGGACTACCCGTCTGTGGATTTGCTTAGGGAACCCGAGATGGCCCCTCCAATCCATGAGGCGGCAGGGGCTCCTTATGCCGAAGCTACTTATACGGGGGCTCCTGCTTACTCTGAATCCGCTTACACGCGAGCTGGGCCCTCAGGCTCGGGGGCCCAAGGCGAGTTTAGGAGCGTGTTATGACCAAACTACGCTCTACAGAAGAGCAGGGAGGCTATCTATCCCAAGGAGGTCGCGTCATGGTCCGAGCTTCCATTGAACCAGGTAGCTTGTCGTGCTGCCACTCATGCCATGGTGGTAAGTCATATTTCTTGTCCGGCTCTTCACTTTTGTCTTTCTGTCGTTCCTTTGATCATTTTTGTTCTTCCCCTTTTGGTAGGTGAATTCTTCAATCCACGCCTTGGCGTCTCAGGTGGAAAGGAGCTCGAGGCAGGCGTGAGCTGCTGAAGAGGCCTTCCGTGCTGCCGAGGCGGCTTCCCGAGCGGCTGAGGCGGCTGCTCGTGCTGCACAAGCCAGGCAGGCGAGGTCTCAGAGAGATGCTGAGGCCATGGGAGTTGTGGTAAAGCATATGGCGGACCTGAGGCTGGACTTGCAGCATCAGGTTGAATATCTTCAGGAGGATATCAGGGAGAGGACGCAGATTTTTTCCCAAGGCATTAAGGACGCCAAGAAGAAGGCTGTTGACGAGTACATTGCTTCGCTGCGCTTTGATGACCTGATGGTGGACTCGTACAGAAAGGGCTTTAAACTTAGCCGGTGGATGATCCGGAATACATACCCCGAGCTTGATATGGCCGACACCGCTGATGGTGAGCCGGATTCCGAGGGCGAGGCAGGACCTTCGGGTGTTGTCGAAGTGCCTTCTAATGAAGAATAACCACCTCCGGGCCTGTGAGCTCGATATGTTTTATTTTTGTTCGAAATGTAGACTCCCTTATTTTGGAATGGAATCTCTTTTGGTTAAGTGTTGGTTGTTTTCTTTCTCCCGAACTAACTGTATTTTCCGAACTGACCATATGCCTGATTTGTTTCTTGCGGGAGTTACTTCATATGCGCGGCCTGTTTTGGTGTAAATACTTAGTCTCTGAGATGCCGATGTACTTATTAGTCCGTTGTCACCACTTCGTTAGCTCGACATCCTAGCCCTTGGGCTCTGATAGCGATTTTGTCCACTTCGCTTGGTGGTTATAGGTAGTATTGCCTTAAGTTGACGATGTTCCACGCTCAGGGTACTTGTTTGCCCTCTAAGGTTTCGAGCTCGTATGCCCCCCCGAGCACTCTCTTTACTCTATATGGCCCTTCCCAATTTGGTCCAAGTTTGCCCACGCCGGGTTCGGGTACCATGATCTTACGGAGAACCAGGTCGCCAATGCGGAAGCTCCGCTTCTTTACTCTGGCATTATAGTACCGAGCTACTTTTTGCTGGTAGGCTGCAGTCTGGATGTACGTGAGGTTTCTTACCTCATCCAGTAGGTCGAGGTTGGTACGTAACTCATCTCCGTTTGTCTGATCGTCATATGCTTCTAGTCGCAGTGTGGGTATTTCGATCTCCGCCGGGAGTGCCGCTTCAGTGCCATAGGTG